ATTTTATATATGTAATATGTATCCAAGTATATAAAGGTTAGATTGAAATGTTATAGGAGAGACATTACAGATTGTGGGAAAGACTTTTGCTTCTCTATTGAATCATGTGTTCAAATATGAAAAATCAGTTGTTGAAGTTTCAAGTTCCTTTTGCTGCTTGTCAATATTTGAACGCAAATAAACATATCGAATGAATCCATACAAAAAGAAAAGGCGGAAAGGGAAGTAAGACTGCGATTACTCCTTAATGATGCATCAGTATACGGGCGCGCACACGCACACACACACACACACATCGACACTCACATTTACATTGTAACACAGAGTGCTGAAAAAAATATCGGCTCTGACCACGTTCCAAATTATTATCCTGATGTTTGGCCATCGAAATACTGATTTTGGATAGTATGCCATACTTAAAACTTTTCTACGCTCTTCGTGAGTACACATACATAGACGTGCACGCATACATACACACACACATTATATATATATATATATATATATATATATATATATATATATATGAAAGCACTATTAGGGTTTTATTTGACCTTAATTCCTATGTAGCCGAGCGTCTAGGCACGTCAGATCCAATGACGGTTCCCCAACGGGGATTCAGGTTTGAATCCAGCCGGAGGACGCATATGTTCCTGACAAAAATACTTTTTAATTAAACACACACACACACACACACACACACACACACATATATATATATATATATATCATAAAAAGGTATATCTTAAAACAAGATGGAAAATTTATAATAATAATAATGAAGGGTAACGAAAAATAACCGTTAGGCGGTAATAACAAATAACCACGTGATTAAGAAGAAAGAGCCGCTAAACCGGTTTATCAGTTTTGCGTCATCAGAGCTAAAGTGAACGCAAAAGATGTGCAGAATAGCTAAAAAGGAACATCGAAGACCAAATATCGGAATGTAAAGCAAATCTCAATATGCAAATTTTGACATTTTGCAACCATATGAATCTTGAGATTATGTGATGAGCCAATAACGGCTTGTGAGTTTATTTATTTTTCTTTTTAATTTTCTCAACTTCTATTTGATATTTTACTTCCTCTATAATATGTTTTTTTTTTCAAATTTACAGAAATTAAATAAAATTGTTAAATTAAATCTATATTCATATTCATGGTTTTACCACGTTGAAACACCGGTTACCGTACCAAAATTATTCAACGTCGCGCCTGGTCGGTAACTTGATGGGTAACCGCTTGGCAATAGCAAGTGCAGTAAGATTGGATGTTCGGGTGTATAGTACCTTGTAAGATGAGAAATCGAGGATCCGACTGGAAATTCCAGTTGAGCTCGATATGTTCACTTGTGTGCAAATATTCTTAGGATAGGTATGAATTCGATTCTTCTCTTACAACTGTCGGATAAATAGTAGGACTTATAGCTCGAAAAATATTGTTATTTCTTTTACTTATATATATATATATATATATATATATATATATATTTCTGTTCGTTATATATGGCAAAACCATTTCACGTACAGCACTTAAATTAGGTATACACACTTACTGGACCAGCAGAAATGTTTCAAGGGATTTTCTTCAAGGTGGATGAAGTTATATGGATTTATCTTTAACTGTAACAATTACTGTTTGCGACCGTTCAGTTGAAGACTATAATTTTTCTTTTATTATTACAGCTCACACAATAAATCCCTAACCTTACTTCGTACACCGCTTTTGTGGCCTTGTGTCTAACTGAATAAATGCTACATTTTCATGACTATTTTTAGCAATACTAGTAGTTAAAATCAGGTGTGGTCCTGAAGTTAAGTATTTTCATTAATTCGGATACCTTTAGGAGTAACAGCTTTTTTTTTTAATTATTTTTATTTTTTGGTATTCCAAAAACTTTTTCTAAACTCATCAACGAGAAACAACAAAAGTCAGATGCTATTAAAATATCTAAAATAATTAAGGTAGAATATTATATATATATATATATATATATATATATATATTAATTTTCTCACACTGTATGTCCCCAGGCCACTCTCGTTGTCATTCTCTCTCTCTCTCTTTAACTATATTACAGATGTATTTCCGTAGCTTCATCCGACTCAAGAATAGATTTGTCGAAATGAAGATGAAATGATTGCTTTACACCGAACGTTCCATTTGGAACGACATGTGTACACTAAAAATAAATATTCACAATATATAAGTGTATTTACTACACCTGGTGAAGAATGTCACTTCGGAAGTCTTTGCTTGTCTTGAAAATCAGTATTTGAAATGAAATTATAGAAAAACATCAATACATTTTTATTTATAGATTTTATGTTATACGTATTATTTTTAATTTATCGAACCTGATGAGCATTTTAATGAATCAATAAAAGTTGTTCAAACGACATATGATTGAATCAGTCTATGAAATGGAACAAGTGAACTTTTGTTGACTCAATGAATATATATATATATATATATATATATTAAAGCAGGAAATAGACAGTCACCGCTCGAAATAGATCGTCATATATATATATATATATATATATATAGATATAGATATAGATATAGATAGATAGATAGATAGATAGATAGATAGATAGATAGATAGATATTTACAGACTGGAAAAGATAGATCTGAACACACTGAGATAGATAGATACATGTGAACAGATTGAGATGGATAGATAGGTAGATAGATAACAGAGAAATAGATAGATATGTACGGACTGGGAAAGATAGATCTAAACAGATAGATAGATAGATAGATAGATAGGTCTAAAGAGACTGAGATAGATATGAACAGACTGAGATATATAGATAGATATGAACAGACTGATATAAATAGATAGATCTGAACTGACTGAGATAGATAGATAGATAGATAGATAGATAGATAGATAGATAGATAGATAGATAGATAGATATGTCTTTACTAACCACAAATTAATAATTTAAAAATATTTGTTGGAGATTGACTGAAGTTACTTGCAAAACATAATTTAAAGATTTCACCATTTCCGGATTTGTTTGAAACAAACGACATTTGGCATATTTGAAAAATGTCTTCTGCGAAAGGAACTGATGTTGCATTGTCTATGAAATTTGCACTCATGATTCCGCTCCGTGATGGAGTTTATTGTTTTGGAAAAGAATTCATTTGGGACCAATTCTCCAGACGAACGCACGGAATCACTTTTCAGAATCGTGAAGGCTGTCTTTGTGTTTGACCTCGAAACAAAAAAAGAAGTTGTGTTTGACTTCTTAGGACATATCCGGAAAGACAAAACAAAAAAGTCAACTTTTTTTTTTTTTTTCGTTTCCTCAACTCAAAGAAAGAATATCACAAAATCCATGAGTAAAAAATGAGCAGCATTGTTGGATCAACTACTTTAATCCGTTTTTTTTTGGCTTTGTTTAGTTTTGGTTATTTTATTTTTATCTTTTCATTTTGAATTTGGCTGGACGCGAATAATTATTCCTGTTTTGATATCTTTTTACTCGACAATTTCAATTTTTTTTTATAGTCGTATTTTTAACACGCTTTATTTTAAACCTCTTCCTTGTCTATTTTTTTGGAAAAAAACGTTTCATTTTCAGACGATTTCCTTTATTTGTTATACAGTATGTTAGTATTCCATAACATAATATCTATCAAGTGGAAGAAGAATTTCTTGACTGCTTCAGAAACACTAAGAAATTGAACTCGTTTGAAGCTCAAAAGGGCATAGAAAAGAATCAAGATCGACGTATAAACACGTCTGTAGCTGGTTTTTGGACGTTATGTTTTGGACGGGTTTATTCGTCTGTGTCTGAAAAAGACACTTTCAGTAAAAATAACGTATATACACATCTACCGTGGGGAAGGGGGTTAATCTTCTATGTTTTATTTCTTTAATCCTAGTTGACGTAACGACGCGAGAAACGGAGTCTGTAAATCGGGCATAAAACTCGATAGAATCTCACTTCACACTCATACAATTAGATAAGGCATGAACAAATCTCTCCCTGTCCCACTGTTCTGGCAGTGAATATTGGATTAACAACCTTTTGGGAATAACAAAATTTTTTCCAGATACAAATCCTACTATTATAGTACTACTATAGTTGTGGGAGAAGAAATGGATTCATACCTTTACTAAGCGGACATTGAAGTCAACACCCATACGCGACAGTCTTAACGCTATCGACCCGCTATTATCATGTGAAGGTTTCATTCAAGCTTGAAACCGGCTGTCGTCGCTCGGTGTTGACCTAAGTCCACTTAGATAGATAGATAGATAGATAGAACATATGATTTGATATAAAAGGGAGAAATTTTTGAGATTACCCAATCTTACAAAAATATTGCTCATAATGTGTGTGTGTGTGTGTGTGTATATATATATATATATATATATATATATATATATATATATATATAGAGAGAGAGAGAGAGAGAGAGAGAGAGATAGAAAGATATGAAGAAATATAGTCTTAAGATGTGCTATAAATAGACTACGCACAATGCACCACTTACCCGTACATATATAAATAGCCGAAAAAATAACAGCAATTGTGGCCTGACGATTGCATGTGTAGCATGAAACAGACTGTCGCCTCTAAGTGTAGACTTCTATGTTTTTTTTATATATATATATATATATATATATATATATATATATATATATGTGTGTGTGTGTAGATAGATAGATAGACAGACAGATAGACAGATAGAAAGACAGAACATATGATATATGTAGAATGTGAACAAATTTTTGCGACTGCCCTATCTTATAAAGAATATTTCACATAAGATAGATCAGAACATACTGAGATCGATCGATCGATAGATATAGACAATGATAGATAGATAGATAGATATGAAAATAATTAGATAGATAGATAGATAGATAGATAGATAGATAGATAGATATGAAAATAATTAGATAGATTGATAGATAGATAAATAGATAGATAGATAGATAGATAGTCTATAATTCATTATTTAAAAACTAGTTGATGCAGAATAACTGAAATTACTTGCAAAACATAATTTAAAGAAAAATATTCTCGGATTTATTTGAAATAAAGGATATTTGGCATATTTGAAAAATCTCTTCAGCGAAAGGAAATCATAGCGCCTTTTCGATGAAAGTTGCACTCCTAATAATGGCAAGATGATAACAAGAAAGAATATTTTCAAGGTAAGAACCAGAAACACAGGTTTAAAGATCTTATAAAAATTAAATGAGGCAAGAATGAAGAAAAGTGGATAGGCCAACAAGGAAATACAGAAGAAGCAGATACAACAGATATTATCCAAGAGACAACATATAGAATACTAAGAACATTGGCTAAATACATGAAAGTAATCAGACATTTAGTTGAATCGCTTCACCCTAAGGAAAGCAATATAGGCACTAAGACGCAATGGTTACTGAATGTAAAAGAATAAGAAAATGAAAAATATTATTAAGCAGTGGGAAGATTAAAAGTAGAGGAATCATGAAGACAGTAGATAACGATTGACATTGCATTTAAATTTTTGAAGATCAAGTTGATAGAAAAGAAAGAAGCCGGAATAAAGTACCATATGTGAGAGAATAAATATTACAATAGAATTTTACATTTAGCAATTACAACTAAAATGATGAGAGATAGCTGCCAATCTTGTACTGCGCTTAAAGTCGTCAAGTTTAATTAACAAAGAGGAAAGCTAATCAGGACAATTACCAGGAAAAAGATTTATGGAAAATGCAGACGGAAGCTATATTATGGCGGTGGGATAGTAACTGAAGCTGAGCTGTCAGATCTTGGACCGATAACATTGCAGATTCTTTGGATTTTATCTAGAATCTCTAAATACGTAGAGATTCATAATGAAGCTCAAAGGAGTCAGCGTCTAAACATATTTCTTTGTTGGTCAATTTATTTTTCTTGCCTATTATATACAAAATTACAACCATTAAGTAGATAAACATCACAAAGAAACACGTATAAGTTGACATGAAAACTGATTTTCTAATACATATTTTTGGGATTAATATACAGTGGATGGACCTGATGTCAGGGCTACAGATTGGTATCTTCATAGATATACACCCAGGTGCAAATTAATTGAAACAAAACAAAATAATTCTGTTATTATTTGCTTTTTCGTAATTTTCCAATGAAACAAAGCCCAGTGCACATGTTAGTACTTCGTATGTCTATTCCACGAAGTCCACATTGAAGTCAACACCCAGAGGCGACAGTCTGTTTCACACTTAAAAGCTATCGACCCGCTATTATCATGTGAAGGTTTCATTCAAGCTTGAAACAGGCTGTCGTCGCTCGGTGTTGACCTAAGTCCACTTAGATAGATAGATAGATAGATAGATAGATAGATAGAACATATGATTTGATATAAAAGGGAGAAATTTTTGAGATTACCCAATCTTACAAAAATATTGCACATAATGTGTGTGTGTGTGTGTACATATATATATATATATATATATATATATATATATATATATATATATATAGATATATATGAAGAAATATAGTCTTAAGATGTGCTATAAATAGACTACTCACAATGCACCACTTACCCGTACATATAAAAATAGCCGAGAAAAATAACATGTTAGTACTTGATATGTCCATTCCTCGAAGTCGTTCCTTGCAGATTGACCACAGATTCTTGGTAGGATTTAAATCCTGAGAGTTTCCGGGCCAGTCTACAGTACTTTGAATTGATCACTGGTAAGGTTTGCCAGTGTGTTCGTGAAGCGTTACAATTTACGTAAACTTCCTTGGAGTAACGTCCCTTGCAGACGATGGCCATAGGATATCTAATCGACAGGTGAGACAATAGTGTCTGGGCTTGATAAAAATCTGATGCAATCACGGCTGACGCCATTTTTTAAAGGCCAAACAAATTTCATCTTACACCCCGAAAATAGATTCATATTACTGCAAATGAGCAAATCTGAAGAAAAAATAGAAATCGATTACACCCTGGCAGATCCTTTGGCAGATTTATAATGGTAAAATAATATAAGGAAGATAATCCCTTTTGCAAATTTGGGTCACTAACACACAAAAAAGAGAATGTATAATATCGTGAATATTTAACATCAAAAAACATAAGGAAAATTAATTCCTTTTAATAATATCCACCCTTGCCTGACGAAGGTCCTAAGATCGGAAACACGTGTAGCAAGCTTATGGAAAATAAAGCATAATATATTTTTTAAAATATCCGCATTATAACCAAAAACGTTTGCGGTTCTCTATTCTTTTTAATTTACACACTTTTCTCTCGTTGGAACTACTATAACCTCTTTCCTTTATATATATATATATATATATATATATATATATATATATATATATATTAGCATTATATATATTAGCCCTATATATATTCGTATTTAAAAGTTATGTAAACAAGATATATAATTAAGTCTCGTGACCAGTATACGCGCTTTCCTTTCATTAGGCCACGTGTCGTTGGCGCGTTTCTTGAACACATTC